GTTGTGGGGCCAGAGGGAGTCGGCGGCGGATAGGGCGGGGACGATGCCGATGACCTGGAGGAGGGGGCTGCGGTGGTCGCCGGTGACCTTGGTCGGCGTGTTCATCGACTGGAGGAGCTTGAGGAGGATGCCGGGGGTTAGACTCGCCATTTTTTATTTTTTATTTTTTATTTTTCTTCTTTCTCGTTTAATGGGGAAATTGGGCGAGGAAGCAGTTGGAGCTGCTGGGGGTTATTTTTAAAGGTTTTGAATGATTAGGGACCGTTGGGCAATTTTTTTGAAATTCAAAAAACGCTCATTAGCTTCGTTCGACGCCTTTTGAATTTTTGTAACGGTAGGTACGGTGCGAGTGGGGTCCGTGGTTTGATATCGTATAACCATATATGTGTTGACATAATATGGATGGATACGTGACATTGATTAGAAAAGTTATAACTAAATCAATTTCCGTAAATTATTAGAACTTTCAAAAAAAAAAAAAATTGCATTTTGTGGGAAGAGTTTACCAATTTGATTATTGAATTATTCTGTCCAAAATATGTCTACTAATCATTCTGAAATCACTACGGCCTGGTTTACTAGCCTTAACTGGATAGATGGTATCCTGTTTAGTAAACAATGGACCAAATCTGAGTCATGAGATAGATTGTCATTGTAACAACAAATTTTATGGAAAATATAAAATTTTTGTACAACTTGATTTTATTTCGATCAAACGATTTGCAGGTACAATCTCTATTTATCTCTTCTGATTCTTCTCTTCATGAATTTGGGTTTGGATCTTCGAATATGGATTGAGCTTGCATAACATTGACTCGAGGGCTTGAGAGCTTTTTCCCGAATCAAACGCTACGTTGCTTGAACTTCTCAACGAACGGGGATTGAATGTCGCTTGAACGTCATTGATATTCTTGGATTGACTTGAGAGGAGTGGAAGTCGTCTCTTTACTTCTTGGGGAAGAGTCGCCGCCTCTTTTTCTTCTTCTTGGCCTTCTTCTTCATTGAATGGACTTCAGGCGGTTCTTCAAAAACTTCTTTAATCTTCAAGAGGGTTCTTGAGAGCTCTTGAATTTGAGACTTTATAATTTGAGATGTGTTTGATATTTTTGAGGTGATTGAGGCGTGATTTGTGGCATTGAGGAGAGCCCTATTTATAGGTGTAGTAGAGAGATTCTTGGAAAATAAGACATCAATTTGATTGGTCCTTCTTGATTTGATATAATCTCTTTCCTTATCCTAAGGTTTGATATAATCCCTTTCCTTATCCTAAGATTTGACTTGGTGGGCAAGAAACAATTACTTTATTAATTAAATATTTTATTTATCTTGGATTTATGTCCCAAAATAAATAAAGACATTAATTAATAAAATATTAAAATTTCGATGTCTACAAATGCCCCCTTGAGACTTGTTCACGGACAAAATGACTTGGTAGTGAATGAGTCTCAAAATTTTGAATTTAGTTTGGACATGTAGATAGTTTAAACTCTTATCTAGGAGTTTTCGACTTGAATTTGTAGATAGTTTAAATTCGTATCAAGGAGTCTTGATTTGATTTGACAGATAGTTTATACTCGTATCAAGGAGTCTTGATTTGATTTGACAGATAGTTTATACTCGTATCAAGGAGTCTTCATTTTTATAGACATTTTATGCTCGTATCAAAGAGCCTTCAAATTTGTAGACCTTTTATGCTCGTGTCAAGGAGCCTTCAAGTTTTACATGTAGACCGTTTATTCTCGTGTCAATGAGATCTTGATATGTAGACATTTTATGCTCGTGTCAAGGAGCCTTCAAGTTTGATATGTAGACATTTTATTCTCGTGTCAAGGAGATCTTGATATGAAGACATTTTATGCTCGTGTCAAGGAGCCATATAGATAGTTTAGGCTCATATCAAGGAGCATATGTAGATAGTTTAAGCTCATATCAAGGAGCATTGTATATGTAGATAGTTTATGCTCATATCAAGGAGCGTTTGAATATGTAGATAGTTTAAACTCATATCAAGGAGCGTTTTAATATGTAGATAGATAGTTTAAGCTCATATCAAGGAGCATATGTAGATAGTTTAAGCTCATATCAATGAGCGTTTGAATATGTAGATAGTTTAAGATCATATCAAGGAGCATATGTAGATAGTTTAGGCTCATATCAAGGAGCATTGCAGATAGTTTAAGCTCGTATCAAGGAGCATTTGCTGTGTAGATAGTTTAGGCTCGTATCAAGGAGCATATGAATTTAAGGATTTGATGGAGCTTTCCATGTAAATTGCCCCCATGGAATTTGAGAAGAATATGGCAGACCACTTTTTGTTTCCTCCATTCGGATGAAGACTTCATGGCTTGATGAGACATCATCCTTAGTTGCCCCCTTGTACAATTTCTTCAAAGAGGTCTTCATGCATCTTCAAAGATCTTCGAACTTGATTTGAAGAGAAGAGATGAGAGGTAGATAATGTCCCACTGGGCGTGCCAAATTTGTAACAATAAATTTTACTTGGGTTTGATATAATCTCTTTCCTTATCTTAAGATTTGACTTGGTGGGCAAGAAACAATTACTTTATTAATTAAATATCTTATTTATCTTGGATTATGTCCCAAAATAAATAAAGACATTAATTAATAAAATATTAAAAATTCGATGTCTACATTCATATCCCAATCAAGGCTACTAAACGAGGCATGTCTAAATTAAAACCTAAATTAAAGGATAACTAAGAGCTTACTTGATATAGATTTCTTTTCAATGATAAGTAGGGGTGAGCAAAATCAAGCTGAAACGGAAAAATCGAGCCGAATGCAATTCGGTGCGGTTCGGTTCGATTTTTTTTAATGTAAAAAATTTCAATTCGGTTCGGTTTGGTTTTTACCCTTGGTAACACAAAACTTCCCGACCGGCTGGAACTTGAATAATCGCCTTCCTTCTCGCTGGTTGAACGTCGTGCACCTACAAAGAACTCTCACACCGGAGGGGTTTTCCGGTGAAGAGCCTCCGAAGCTTAAGTCAGTGTATGTTCAATCAATTCTCAAGAGTAAGCCATAGAATGATCATCCTGAAAAAGAAAGGCTCACCCCCTTTATATAGGGGTGACATACCTGACCTAGGGCTGCCCGAATTTGATGAGCTGTCTGCCCTAACTACTCGTCCGTACACACCATACGCGTGTGTCAGAGGTAGCCGTCGCCACTATCGCCCGCACCAATCCCCTTTGGACGCGTATCCTCCTGCACATGGGGTAGGCTGTCAGAAGTGGTTATCGCTATCAACCACTGCCTTCTCGACACGTGTCTACCTGCACATGGGGTAAATATTCTCCTGAAGTTCAGTTAGAGGCTCACTCACACGCCTGTGACTAGGCCGATTAGCGTGGTGTTAAGTCCTCGAAGCGGTTGACCTTATCGAGGCTGACTGTACTGCTCTATCGTTTATCTAATCGAAAGATAATTTGGTCGACAGCTTTGCTTGGCGACGGGTTAACTGCTCGATTTCCTTGACTTCCTCATAATACGACTTCCTTGACCGGTCTATTTACCGGTTTAACCTTGTGGGTATAATATCCTATATCATCTAGTCCCCCCCACTCTGGTCGAGTCTGAATGACTCGATCTAAGAGTGAGTCTATCGACCTCCTGGGCATCATGGTATCCGATATCGACCATCTGGTGGATTTCCCGCTTATTTTTTCAAATAATACCTCATTAATTGCCAGAGATAGGGTCACATGTCACATGTCCTTTCTGCCGTGCTTACTTTTCTGTCACGCGTCGCGTCTTCCGCATCTGTCAGTTACTTTAATAATAGCGCCTCCTCGCATAACGTGCTCACTTTGAGTGTTGTGTTAATCAATGCTCCCCACCGTTAGATCTGGTTTTAATCCAACGGTCTTGCTCTTCCAACCCTTCAACTCTCTAAGTATAAAATCGGTACTTAGCGAATTTTCTCTGTTTTTCCACCTTTGCAATTTCGAATTCTCCTGTGCTCAAATATCCCTTTTGCAAGAACCCTAATCTTTTTCGGCGATTTCTACTGCTATTTTCAAGTTCTTCCACATCTTTCATTTGCGACCATGAGTAAGTTGCTCCTCGTCTGATTTTATGCTTCCTGTGTCGGAGCTTTCACGTTTTTGAATTTTTTGAATTGGGTGTCTAAGTTTGCTGTTTGAGTGTTGTGAATCTGTGTGTTGAATGTCTGTCTCTGTTGATTAATCACTGTGAATTTTACCCTTTTCCTTCGAAAATCCCTCGAAATCCCTGTTTTTCTCCTTTAATTTTTACAAAATCACCTCTCCGCAGAACCCTAATTCAGAAATCTTCTTCTTCTCCTCTTTTTTCTTGTTTTCAGATCCTGCTACTTCGACCACCTCCTCCGACTCGGTTCAAATCTTTCCTTCAGCCTTCGAAGCTGTTCCTCTTTCTATCCTTCGGCCCAGCGATACCGTTCCTACTCGTGTCTTTACTGCCCGTATTGCTTCTTCTATTCCGGGGACACCATGGATAACGTCCCTCTCCGACACCGTCGACCTGCCCTCGGTGCTTTAGACGAGCCCGAAGAGGACGAGATCATTTCTCCTCAACCCACATATGCTCGTTCTTCAAACATTCCTCCTTGTTCTTCTCAACCTGGTACTTCTAACTCTCCTTCCCATAAAGCCTCGACCAAAAATCTCTCTAAAGCCTCTTCGAGGCGTTCATCTTCTACTTCTCTTTCCCACCCTTGGTATGATCCTGAGAAGATCGGCCAACCTCTCGGTTGGGCGTTCTTCAGCTCTTCTTCTTCTGATAAATACGATCATCTCCCGAGAGACTGTTATACCTTTTTCGAGATCCAATTTAAGCTTGGCCTTCGCTTTCCTCTATGCCCCGAACTACTTCAGATTTGTGAATGGTTTGGGCTTTCTCTGCACCAACTTCCCCCAAATGCCATTCGCTTTATGACCATCTTTATCATCCTTTGTCGCGTTCGTTTAGGTCGATTCGACCTAGACTTCTTCCATTATTGCTACGTCCCTTCTAAGCAAGGTCGAGGCCTCTATTTGAAGAGCCGCAATGGCGCCCACTTCATCAACGATATCCCTTCCAATCTCCCCAAGTGGAGTGATAAGTTTATCTTCGTCCGTCCCGATGCTCCTTTTCCTTAGCTATCCGTC